GAGAGATCTCCAGCCCGAGGACCCTAGTCCAATTCCAACAAAGACCAATCGTGGGCCAGATACAGGCGAGTGACTGTCAAGAAGACCAATTAGATCCTCCGGAGGGAACCTGGCCCGGCCTCTTCTCTCAGGCATGGCTCTACCTACCAATAGCATGGGCGAGAAGGCGGTCCCTTCGCTAAGGAGGAGGCGGGTGAGCCAGAACTTTGAGACTGAAGTAAAGAATGTGACCGTGGCGCGCTGGGCGGGCTGGGAGAGCGGAGCAGGCGCTGCTGGAGTGTTTGTGAGCTGGACGTGTTAGGGAGCTAGCCAGCGTTGAAGGCGCGAGAGAGACCGAGAGGAGCTGAACCACTGCCTGAAGCCAGTGCTCAGGCGATTGACCCAGCCGAAGAGGCCGTGAGGGCCTTTTTCGTCTGCGGAGGCCGAGCCCTATTAGGAGCTCAGTACCATTGGGCTGGGAGCGGGCGGTCGGCTTCCCGGAGCCCCTGGATGCCCAGCTCGTGAAGAGAGGTTGCTCGGCCTGCCAACATCACCTAGTCAGGAATTGTGATGACCAGACCTGTGGAGGTCAGAGGCTAGAAAGGACCTCGTCGCTTAGAGTACTTCCTTCGTTTTACCAATGAGGAAACTGAAGCAGAGGGAAGTGGATGCATTAGCCAAAACAAACAAGTTCTGGACAGCTGGCACTAGCAGTCAGGTCTCCCAGCCCTTAAGGCAGGGTGCTTCCTCAACCTTTACAGTAGCCTTTTTCCATTCCCAACCTCTGGTTGGCCTCCTGGGGTGATAAAGGGGAGCCAAATGTAAGAGGAAGAGGGAAATGCTTTTTTTCTGTCTAAAGATCTTAACATCCCTTCTAGTGGCATAAGTACTTAATATAATCCATATGTCAACAGTTGCCCAGCCACAATTAAGTTGCTTTCTCATAAATCACATCTCAGATGTTGGTATGTTTTAAGGATTATTTTAACTTTATTATTATTTTCCAATTTACCAGAGAGAAAGAGAGAGGGAAAGAGAAAGGAAGCATCAAGTCCAGGATTTGCAACACGGTTAGCCATGTGGGAGTCCAGCAACATAGCCATTATGCTAACTGCTGGTCCCCAGGTGTTGGTATTTCTAACCATTTATTAAAGTATTAAGTTTCCATCTTAGGTATCTCAGCCTAGCTATTTACCATACTGTTCACCATAAATAAGCTTGATTGGGTGGCTGACAGTCTGGTGCCCCATTAAATGAATAATTTAATAATTTAATAATCCTATTAAATGGATCTGTGATACTGTGCAGTGTGGGCCATTTGTCCAACAGGACTGGATTCCTTAGAGTCCCTGAAAGAGCCAACTACTTCAGATTTATTGATGTAGATCTTCTGCCCCTGCCTGAATAGATATACCCCCAACTCCTGCTGCTTCTCATGAATTCACCCCTACCTCCCCACCACTGCATAAGGCAAAACTAATAATGTAGACTCTGGGAGAGGTAAGTTTTCAGAATAAATCCATTCCTTTCTCCCATCTTAATAGGTTGTTCTTCACACATGCAATGATGTCACTGTCCCTCAGGAAAGCAGTCTGGTTTTGGATGTGTTTTTCATGAGACCGTACAGAGTTTGTGCTGAATTGTACCCACTTTCTTCTGGTGCATGCTTTTGAAAGCTAGATGGTCATTAGCAGGGTCACCTTTCCCCCTCACCTGCCCAGAGTTTATAGTTTTTGTTTTGTTTCCTTCTGCTGTTGCTGTTTTTGACTTTATACTCTTGTGCTACAAATCCTTGAAGCCTGCTGAGATGTGAAGAATTCACCGATGTTTTTCTGCAGTTAGTGCTAAAAGGACTACAAGTGGGAGAACCTGCTATTCCCCGAAAGTAAAGGCCTCATCTACCAGTGGTTCATATTTTATTTCTCCAGTAAAATGCACATCCCATGAGCCATTGGATGGCTAGAGCTGAGCTAGAACCAAAAAGCTGTGTAAGAGATAAAGTCCCAGGGAAGGATAGGTCACAGTGACTGGACAATGAGGTCACAGAGAGGTTTGTTTTTCCCAGACTCTAGGGGAAGGGGCCTACCAGGCAGGGGTGATGTCCCAGAGGTCTCCCCAGCCCAGGCCTGGGACATGGTGGGGGAAAGACAGCAGGGCCAGGGGCCAGGGAACTGAGTACGGGAGCCAAGGGGCCCAGAGAGATGAGGGCAGGAGCCGGGAGGGGGCAGTCAGGATGGTGAGGAGAAGCTGGAGACAGAAGCTGCAAACATTCACTGGACTGTGTGGATGGGAAGAGGGGCTGGGGGGGGGATGGCAGCAAGAGTTTGGGGGAGGGGCTAT